TGAAATTTTTTTTTTCTTTTTGACAGGCAGAGTGGACAGTGAGAGAGAGAGAGAGAGAGAGAGAGACAGAGACAGAGAGAAAGGTCTTCCTTTTGCCATTGGTTCACCCTCCAGTGGCCGCCGCAGCTGATCTGAAGCCAGGAGCCAGGTTGTTCTGGTCTCCCATGCCGGTGCAGGGCCCAAGGACTTGGGCCATCCTCCACTGCACTCCCTGGCCACAGCAGAGAGCTGGACTGGAAGAGGGGCAACCGGGACAGAATCCGGAGCCCCGACTTGGACTAGCATCCAGTGTGCCGGTGCCGCAGGTGGAGGATTAGCCTATTGAGCCGCAGCGCCGGTCTGAAATTTTAAAATTAGATCTAATGGGGTCGCCACCTGGCACCCCGTATAGGCGCCAGTTTGAGACCCAGCTGTTGCACTTCTAATCCAGCTCTCTGCTATGGCCTGAGAAAGCAGTAGAAGATGGCCCAAGTTCATGGGCCCCTGTACTCGCGTGGGAGAACCAGAAGAAGCTCCTGGCTCCTGTCTTCAGATCGGCACAGCTCCAGCCATTGCAGCCAATTGGGGAGTGAACCAGTAGATGGAAGACCTCTCTCTCTCTGCCTCTCCTCTCTGTGTAATTCTGACTTTCAAATAATTTCAAATAAATAAATAAATCTTTTAAATAAATAAATACATAAAATTAGATCTAAGTAAGTTAATCTAATTTGAGTAAAATGTTAATATTCATTGTAACTCATAGTATGGTGGTATTTTGACACATTAGGGACACATGCTGTCCTCTGTGCCACGAATCCTGTGATTTTCTAGTAGATTCACTTTAATTTCCTTTAAAAAAATTATTTATTTGAAAGAGAGATAGAGAAAAGTAGAGAGAGAATCTTCAAACTGCTGGTTCACTTCCCAAATGGCTGCAAAGGCCAGGGGTGGCCCAGGCAGAAACCAGGAGCCAGGAGTTTCTTATCAGTCTCCAGTATGGGTACAAGGGCCCAAGCACTTAAGATTTATTTATTTATTTGAAAAGCAGAGACCAGACACAGAGAGGAGAAAGAGAGAGAGCGCGAGAGGGAGAACTCCCTTTAATTTCTAAGACTGTGAAGCATTTAATGGATTGACACGGTGCTTTACAGGTTTTTTTTTTTTTTTTTTTTAAATGTAGTACTGCTTATTTAACTTCAGAAACATTTGAGCATTCTAAAGATACAAAAAATCGAGAATGTTGCAGTGTGTTCAAGTACAGAAGGTTCTTGAACTTTCATTGATGGCAATGGCACTTCATTTTGCTGACACTGAAGAGGTCTATAGTTTTGTTTAAAAACAGTTTAAAAACTACCATACTTAAAAAAAAAAAGCCTTTCTCATAGCTGCTGTCTCCTCCTTTAAATGCTATGTCATTATATAAAAAAACAAGACAACCTGAAGAGAAATGAATGCCCACTACAGAGTCAAGGGGTCCAGCCACGCAGTGCACACCTTGACTATGGCATCTGCAAAGGCATCTTCTCCACCGCCTCAGTGTCACACAAGGAACATGAGTTGGTCTCCATTGTTTTGCTTTTTATCAATGTAGCTATGTGCACTCAATAACTTAGAATCTCTAGCCAGTAACCAGAGTTAACACTGCCCTACAAATATAATGAAATGCTAGACACATCTTGAAATGCTGTGTTACCACAACAGCAAAGTGCACAGAGTGAGAACATGAGAGTGCCTTTTCATTTTAAACATATTTGGAAATATGTACAACTTTGACACAGTTTCAGGATGATGCAGATACCCATGGGCACATCATGCAAACCACTGACAATGTCTAGAGTGCTTTGAGACACTACATTATGCTTGTATCTAATTTTGTAATTAAACCTAATGTGCCAATCATAGCACTGCCAAAGAAGACAAAGTGTTTTTTTTTATTTAAAAAAATTTTTTTTAAGATTCATTTATTTGAAAGGCAGAGTTACACAGAGAGAGGCCTTCCATCCACTGGTTCACTCCCCAGATGGCCACAATGGCCAGGACTGCGCCGATCCGAAGCCAGGAGCCAGGAGCTTCTTCTGGGTCTCCCATGTGGGTGAAGAGGCCCAAGGACTTGGGCCATCTTCCACTGCTTCCCCAGGCCATAGCAGAGAGCTGGATTGGAAGTGCAACAGCTGGGTCTCAAACTGGCGCCCATATTGAATGTCAGCACTGCAGGCAGTGACTTTACTTACTACACCACAGTGCCAGCCCCAAGAGAGCGAAGCTTTTATTCCTCCTCCTGCTCCTTCTTCTCCTCCTTCTCATCTTCCTCCTCATTGGTTTTCTCTTCCTCTTTTACCTTTTCTGGGCAATGTTGGCAGGACTGTTTTTACCATCAAATGTTCTTTTATGCTTGCAGTCAGCAACATCTGCTTTAGCTTTGCCACCTTAATGATGTACGGCTGCTTTTCACTGTCACTCAAGTTACTCCACATCTACCCCAGCTTTTTTTTTTTTAAAGAAGTAATTCGTGTGTGTGTGTGTATATATATATATATATATGCAAATTCATTGCTATAAGGATTATTATTTATTTTAAGATTTACTTACTTGTTTGAAAAACAGAGTTACAGAGAGAAAAGGAGAGAGAGATATCTTCCATTTGCTGGTTCATTTTGCAAATGGCGTCAACAGTTATGACTAGGCCAGGCCAAAACCAGGAGCTTCAATTGGGTCTTCCATGTTGGAGGCAGTGGCCCAACCACTTGGGCCATCTTCCCCTACTTTTCCAGGCAAATTAGCAGGGAGCTGCAATGGAAGTGGAGCTGCTGGAATGAACCCAGGTACACATGGGATGCCAGTGTCATAGGGGCAGCTTGACTCAGTATACACAATGCTGGCCTCCAAAATTGATTTTTTGGGGCTGGTGCTGTGGAACAGCAGGTTCAGCTGCTGTCCGCCATGCCAGCATCCCAATTCTAGCTCCCTGCTAATATACCTGGGAACGCAGTGGAGGATGGCCCAAATGCTGGAGCCCCTTTACCCACCTGGGAAACCTGGAAGGCACTCCTGGCTCCTGGCTTTGGCTTAGCACAGCCCTGGCTGTTGCAGCCATTTGGGGAGTGAACCAGCTGTTGGAAGATCTTTCTCTGTCTGTTCTCTCTCTCTCTGTAACTCTTTCATTTAAATAAATAAATCCTTTTAAAAAATTGATTTACTTTTTCGAAAGGTAGAGTCCAATGGAGATGCCAGGGTTTGTAGATTTGATCTTGTGGTGGAATTCTGAACAGAATAAGAAGAGTCCAGATGGTGGTTTCTTATGGGCATTAGGATTATCTTTTTCTTTCTTTCTTTCTTTCTTTTTGACAGGCAGAGTGGACAGTGAGAGAGAGAGAGAGAGAGAGAAAGGTCTTCCTTTGCCATTGGTTCACCCTCCAATGGCCACCGCGGCCGGCGCGCTGTGGCCGGCGCACCACACTGATCCAAAGCCAGGAGCCAGGTACTTCTCCTGGTCTCCCATGGGGTGCAGGGCCCAAGCACTTGGGCCATCCTCCACTGCACTCCTGGGCCACAGCAGAGAGCTGTCCTGGAAGAGGGGCAACCGGGACAGAATCCGGCGCCCCGACCGGGACTAGAACCCGGTGTGCCAGCGCCACAAGGCGGAGGATTAGCCTAGGGAGCCGCGGCGCCAGCCTAGAGTTATCTTTTTCTTGCCTTCCTTAGCTGATCCATAATCCTTCATTTCCTGATCATAGCGTGCTTTATCTGCCTTTGCCATTTTATCCAATTTAGATTTGTCTTTCTCATTGTCTTTTTTTTTTTTTTTAAGATTTATTTATTTAGTTGAAAGTTGGAGTTACACAAAGAGAGGCAGAGGGAGAAAAAGTCTTCCATCTGCCGGTTTACTCCCCAATTGGCCACAACAGCTGGAGCTGCGCAAATCTGAAGCCAGGAGCCAGGAGCTTCTTCCCAGTCTCCCATGTGGGTGCAGGGGCCCAAGGACTTGGGCCATCCTCCGCTGCACTCCCTGGCCACAGCAGAGAGCTGGATTGGAAGTGGAGCAGCAGGGACTCAAACTGGCTTCCATATGGGATGCTGGCACTGCAGGCAGTGGCTTTCCCTGCTGTGCCACTGCACCGGCCCTCAATCAGTCCTTACAATGCTTCTTGCAGAGAGAAAACAGTTCAAGAGTTAAACATGGTAAGTGAACTTGTTGAGATATTTTTTAAATAAACTGAAACCAGTATATTGTAACCAAAAGGTCAGCATATCATACAGCTCAATTTTGCTTACTGGTGTAAAGATCTGCCAATCTTTCTTAGCTGAAAAAGTCGTTAGGGGAAACATTAGGGAGCTAGCTGGGAACTGTACAAACTCAAGAAAAAAAAAACAAACAAACAAAACTGTTCCGGTCTGCAAGACATCTGGTGCTTAGCCCTCTGTGGCAGTACAAAGGGTTTAGGTTTGTGTGGTTTCTTCTTGTATCACACAATCCTTAAAGGAAGCAGAGTTTGAGAGCAGAAGCAAAAAGTTTGTAGGGGCTAACTTATTTCTCAGGAGCCCGGAGACACCTGCACTTCCAGTTACTCTAATTCAGGCCACTCTGGGGACCCTCCAGTCTAACGCGCACACCTGCGCGGGGCTGGGCTTGTTACGCATAGGTGACTTCAGCGCAGGGCAGTTTCGCTTCCGGAGGCTAAACAACACGGTCTCCTGCTGGAGAGTTGCTTGGTGAGGGGCGGGGACCCGTGGGCGCTACGCCCACTCAGGGTCTCTCAAGGTGGGAAGGAAGCTCAGAGTCCCCAGCAGCGGGGTGCACAGAAAGGCACAGGGCAGAGTCACTACTCGCCTGACTCGCTCTGACTTCCTCACCGGGCTCGGCTGGCCATCCCGAGGCCCCACCCATGGCAACGCCGCTCTGACGTTCGCTCGCCGGCGGCCGCCCATAGGCCGGAGTCGGAGCCCAGGACGACGTGTGGCGCGTGAACTACTTCGGGTCCAGCCCTGTGGGAAACCCAGTAGGTTCTTCCGGGCAAGATTCTGTGCACCTGTCCTCCCTTCTGTTCAAGTATCTTATTCCTCTGGAAAGAAGGAGACATATCCGTTTCCAGAGAAAAAGCCGCGCCACAGCCAATTTAATCCTACCGTGGAACATTGACCCTAAAGCCAGAAAGTGCCCGGCACCTTTAAGTTGTGTGGCGCTCACGTGACTCATTAAGTGCTGGGGCCCAGTGGTCACGTGACGCCGCGCGCGCGCCCTCGCGCCGGGAGAGCCAGCCTGCGCTGTGCGCGTGCTTTCACCTCCGCCTCCCGCCCACCCCCTCGACGGGAGGGTGAGGAGCGGCGGAGGGATCGGGCGCCTGGGGCGCTGTGCGCGTGCGCAGCGAACAGCTGTCACCCAGTGCGGAACAAGTCTACCAAATTTCCCAAATCTCCCCGGGCCGGAGGCCACCGTCCTCCTTCACACCCTCCTCCTCTGGATTGTGTCCTCGCCCCCGCCCGCGCGCCAGGTAACCGCTTTTCGGGAGACTGGGGACGCGGGCAGCGGGGGGAGGGGCCGGGGCGGTCTTCCCGGCACTGCTCCGCTCTGCGCCGGGCAGCGGGGGTGCGGGCGTCCGCGGGAGCCGAGGCGCCGGGGCAGAGACGCTCCGCTCCGCTCCGTCCGGGATCGCTGCGTCTGTCATGCTGGGGACGGGTGGCTGGGGGCGGCGGGCCCTGATCACAGGGGAGCCCCTGGGAGCCAGTGACAGCCCGCTCCGGCCCTCACGGGGGATTCGGTGCCCGCGCTCGTCGTGCTCCCGGGAACCGGAGTCGGGGTCGCACTGCTTGGAGCTGAGGAGCACGCGGGTGGTCTGGGAATCCTGACTCCTTTCCTTTGCTTTCCGGGCCGGGTCCACGGCGGAGTCCGGGAAGGCCGGGCCTGGTGCGCCCCTCGAGGGCCCTCCGTGCCCCGAGACTGTCATGGCCCGCGGGGTGGAGGGCTCTCTTCTCCAGACCACCCGTCGCACTAGTGGCCTGCAGCCTTTCGTATCGGGTTCGTTCTCATCCTTCGCAGCTGTCTTGGTTTTTCTTGGCTCCAGTATGGGGCCATTTCTTCCTGCAGTGCCTACAGGAGCCACGATGCGGTGTAGACATTGGGTGCTTAATTAATGCGAGTTGCAGCGGGGCGCGTGGACTGCCAGGCACAGGATGTGGCGGGGGTGGGGATGTGGAGGAGGAAGCCAGGCGAACTCGGGCTCCGCGGGCTGGAGCTTGAAGGTGCTCGGTGGTCAGCAGTGAAGCCAGTAGGGTTCGCTTACAATGCTTTCCCCGTGGACTAGGGGCCAGCGTGCCCTTTGGCTGCGCGGTGCGAGCCTGCGTTGCTGCCTTTGGCTGTGCGCGAACCCCGGAGGGATTTTCTCAGGTTCCTCCAGCCAGAGCAGACCAGACAAACTTCTTTTTGCACTTGGTACAACTCCCCCTCGCTAGGCGATTTATCAACCAAGAGCTAGGAATTGAAGGTTAGAATTGCAGTCGGTTCACCCTTAGCCTGGCGCAAGTTTCCAGTAGGCTGGGTCCATTTAGGTTCGCACCAAACTTTGCCTTATTTCACCCGTTTGAGATCGCGATTTCTAATTTTAGTTTTTTTTTTTTTTTTTTTAATCCGGGGGAGCTTGGCTTCACTGTTTCTGTGGGCAGCGGCTGCTGATATTCTAATTTCGAATTGTTGTGGTTGAAAATTAGTGACTTTAATTTTTAAAGGTTCCTTTTTGTTATGTAGCAGTGGGTTCTACTTTGCGATCACCACTCAAGTTTTCCTACCTTGGTGTTCTCTTTGCAACCTCTGTGCTTGGTTTTGGAATGTGTTACACAGTTGTTAGGGTTTAGTATTTTTGGGAGGCCCGCTTTCTTCCAATTTTAGTGTTCTGGAAAGTCTGCACATAATCTTTATAGCGCCCTGCAAACTTGGCAATACAATAAAATTTAATTCAGAGACTTGTTTCGTTAACTGTCAGTTGCTTTTTAAAAGATAAATGTTTTAAACATGTACACACACAGATGCTTCTTAAGAGTTCACAAGAATGAAGATTTTTCAGAAACTGAACAGATATTTAAAGAAAATTCCTTTGACTTAAATTTCAATTGAAGGATTAAAAATCTTATAAGTTGAACTCTCCTACCATCCCTTCAGTAAATTGCCCAGGGCTAAGTTAAGTGCACCTGGGGTTCAGTCAGTGACTCCTTGCCTTTCTTTTTCCCATTGTTTTGTAATTGCCTCTTGACTGGCTTTTCTTCTCTAATAAAATGACCAACACTTGAGGACATTCCCCCTCCCTCCCTTTGTTGTATAATTTACCTGAGTCAGGTAATTTAGCCTAAGGTGTTAGAAATGTCTTTTTCTCTCTTTTTAGAAATATCACCTGTATTGAGTTGCAGCTAGTGAGTGGATAGGGTTGTGTTGCCATCCCCACAATCAATTTTAGAATATTTTTGCCACACCTAAATGAAACCCTGTTCCTATTGGCTGTCTTTGCCCATTTCCCTCTAATTCCCTCCCCTCCCTACAGGGCAACCATTAATCTGCTTTCCATCTCAATAGATGTGCCTGTGCTGGACATTGCATAAAACTAGAATTACATATTATGTGGTCTTGCGACAGGCTTTTTTCACTCAGCATAATATTTTTTTAAGGTCCATTTGTGTTGCACCCTGTATCAGTACTTCATTCCTTTTTATATCTGAGTAAGCACATTGTATGGATATCACTTTTTGTTCATTAATCAGTTGATGGATATTTGAATTCATTTCTGGGCTATTATAGATAATGCTGCTGTGAGTACTTGTGAACTAGTTTTTGTGTGAACATTTGTTTACTTTTTAGATATATATCTAGTCATGGAATTGCTGAATGAAATGTCTTTAGTTTCTTTTTTTTTTTTTAAAGATTAATTTATCTGGAATGCAAAATTACAGAGAGGCAGAGGCAGAGAGAGGTGTCTTCCATTGCTGGTTCACTCCCCAAATGGCTGCAACAGCTAAGGCTGGGTGAAACAGAAGGCAGGGGCAGGAGCCCAAGCACTTGGGATGTCCTCTTCTGCTTTCCCTGTCACATTAGCAGGGAGCTGGATCTGAAGTGGAGCAGTCATGTGGGATGCAGGCACTGCAGGTGGTGGCCTAACTCACATAGACCACAATACCTGCCTTTTTTTTTTTTTTTTTTTTTAGATTTATTTTAGTGAAAGAGTGAAAGAGAAGAGACAAAGAAAGAGATCTTTCATATGCTGGTTCATTCCCTCCAAGGCTACAGTGGCTGGGTCTGGGAAAATTCAAAGCCAGCAGCTATCTGGATCTCCCTCGTGGGTGTTGGGGCCAAGTATACCACCGTTTTCCACTGCTTTCCCAGTCCCACAAACCAGGGAGCTGGAGTGGAAATGGAGAAGCCAGGACTCATAAGGGATGCCAGCATCACAGAAGGTGGCCTAACCTGATGGGCCACAGTGCCAGTCCCCAAATGTCTTTTGAATGAATAAATGCGCACAGAGGGATAGCTATTCTTGAGGGAATGTGTCTCGCTAGGGCTAGGCCGTGGAGGGTTTTGTTGGCCTTTCCCTGCTCCATTATCTACCATATGCACTCCTAGAGACCAGAATTTTCTGTGGGATTTTGTCCTGTGGCTATTGCCTTATTTTATTTTTCTGTATATTAGTAAGATCATCTCTTTGTGTTAGAGTACTCTTCATAAGGTTCGTGGTTATTTTCTTGTTAGTCGTTTATTCTATACCTGTCATGGGTATAATGATAATACAGGAGTGTTCCAATATCCTAATGCAGGTCTTCCAATCTTTAAAAAAACTGTTAATATTTAGTGCTTTTCCCCTAACTCCCCATTCTGATACAGATTTCTCACCTCTCAAATCCCTGCCAATGCAGAAGGTTTTGTGAGCCTAAAATGTAAATTTAAATTTGGCTCATTGTCTGTGATTCCCTCAGTCCTTATAGAATCTCTGTGCACTCCTACTGTCCCTGTCCCTACCCTTTGGAAATTCCTGATAATATTGGAGACGCTTAATCCTGGCCTAACATAGAATAATGCCTTTAAGGAGCCTATCTCCCTTAGTATTTTTTTATTTAATTTTAAAGATTTATTTATTTATTTGACAGTCAGTTAACATAGAGAAGGAGAGGCAGAGAGAGAGAGGTCTTCCATCTGCAGGTTCACTCCCCAGTTGGCTGCAATGGCCTGAGCTGCCGATCTGAAGCCAGGAGCCAGGAGCTTTTTCTGCATCTCCCACGCCGGAGCAGAGAGCTGGACTGGAAGTGGAACAGCCGGGACTCAAACCAGCACCCATATGGGATGGGATACTGGCATTTAAGGTGGCGGCTTTGCCCTATATACCACCCAGCCGGCCCTGCAAAGGGGCTTTAATAACACTTTCTAGTCACCGGTGCCGTGGCTCACTTGGCTAATCCTACACCTGCGGCGCGGGTACCCTGGGTTCCAGTCCCAGTTGGGGCACTGGATTCTGTCCTGGTTGCCCCTCTTCCAGGCCAGCTCTCTGCTGTGGCCCGGGAGTGCAGTGGAGGATGGCCCAAGTGCTTGGGCCCTGCACCCGCATGGGAGACCAGGAGGAAGCACCTGGTGATCTACGCAGCGGCCTTTAGGGGGGTGAACCAATGGAAGGAAGACCTTTCTCTCTCTCTCACTGTCTATAACTTTCTCTCTCTAACTCTGCCTGTCAAAAAATCCTTAAATATCCACTCACAATAATATATAAGAAATGCAAACCCAGAAGAATCTAGAATTTTAAAGACTATGCATTAGCATAGTGTAACAGCTGAAGCCACTGTGTACAGTATAACGCAGCCTTCAAATAATCGACTTTCATGAAATAGTAGGAAGTCACCAGTCTATCATATTCACATGCCACCTTTAACCCAGTGATAGCACACAATAATTATTAGCCTACTGAGGAAATATACGAATAATAAAAAAACCAGCAAAAATAAATTGTGCAAATAATAAGCAACCAAGCCAGGGAAATATCTGCACCATGAAACACACAAACGTACTGCTCAGGACATTTCTCAGGAAAAAAAAATGAGTTATTCAGCATACTCTGTAGTTTTAGATGCTAGATCCTATTCTCTGGGAATCAGCTTAATATCAATACTAGGAAACCACTGATAAATATCTTCACTGTTTCCTAGATGTCTGAGTGATTTAAGATTCAAAATTAACAAAAGTTTGATACTGAAGTTATACTAAAACCTCATTTAGGTTACTAAAACAAAACAAAAAGTGTTAGAAGGAAATTCACCAAAATGAAAGTGGCAATAACTAATTTTTCTTCTTCCTTTATCCTCTCCTGTTTTCCAGATTTTCTAACATGTATTTTGAATAATACTGATTCATAAAAGAAAATTCAGGAAATGCACATAAACACAAAGAAAAAAATTAACCCAATCCAATACTCAGAAATAACTAACTGCTGTCAATATTTTTGTGTAGAACTTTGTGCACGAGTGGGGA